CCCCCCACCCGGCTCAGCCTGGAATGCAGCCACATGCTCGGCTCCTGATAAGTTTTCACTGCCGCACACGAGAGTGAAAGTTTACGAGCAGAAAAAGAGGGAAAATGTAAACCCAAAAGTAAACGTTTAGCTTCGCTCATTGGACCGCGCTCTGAAAAATGGAAACAAGGCCTCGCAGCAGATCCACCTGTAGCTCCTGCACAAGCTCTAACGTATAAATGCATCAAATCCAAGCAAGTATTGTAACCACAGATGCAGTATTTGATTTCTTCTGAACACTTCAGGCACACTCAGGAAAACAGACACTGTATGCAGTGAAGTCCGCGATGTTATAGACGGCAGCGGGTCTGCGACCGCTCTTTGATCCAGTCTGTCATAATACAGAGAGCGGCTGAGATCAAGTGGCAGGACTGATGTGACAGGAGCCCGACATCCCTGCTCTCACAGAGGATCATAATATAATCTGTTAACATGGAGGGAAACCTCGCAGATGTGCCTGCGATTGTAAATTAGACAGATTAATTTAAACCTTTATCGATGTTTCAGCTTCACGCTGAGCTGAAAGGAGAATAGTCCAAATAAATGAAGTGATTAATCTGAATACATGTGTTCAGTTTATTGGTAAATGGCTGTTCAGTAAATTGAAGTACGTGTTGTTATATTTGATATTATAAGTGGAGCCTAAAGATTACAGCTGATTAATTTACTACACTACTTACCACACAGTGATTTTCATGAGCTGCTCGCCCTCGTCTGACAGGACTCGGGGTCAAACGTGCTCGTGACCCTGAATCAGCCTTAAAGTGGCGGGTTTCAGTGCGGACGTGAGTCTGAGGCCAAACGTGTCCCTGAGGTCACAGGTGTCAGGCGTGTTTACCCAAACGGTAGCAGGACCTCCTACTTCAGCAAACACTCCTCTCCTGTATAAATTATATATCTGTGTGTGTGTGTGTGTGTGTGTGTGTGTTTAGATCTGAAGCGCTGCTTTCAGTGAACATGAGTCCATGTCTGAGAGGGATTTCAGAGGATTACTCGTCCCCTCGGCCTGTTACAGACAAGTGCCTCCCTCCCCGCTCGCTTCCTCATTCCTGCTCTACCTTGTTTTGGCCCTCGCTCGCTCGCTCCCTCTCGGCCCGATCCTCCCTCCCCTCTTCCCTCTCTGAAGAATGTGGACGGGCCGGTTGTTCAGATGCATGCATGACTTACCGATGACGGGCTTTACACGGCTGCTGCCGCCGCCTCCGAGCGCAGCCGAGCTGCACTCGCAGCCGTGACAGAGATCCTGCGTCTCACCTGAACAGTCGACCCTCGTCGTAGTTAGAGTTGGAAATACTGACACGTTCGACCGACTGCTCGGTTTTTAAAATATCAACCACGACTGAGCGTGTTGTTATTTTTAATTTCTGATTAAAATATAGAATAAATCATCCGTCATATTTGAAAGGTCTGTGGGCCGATTAGAGGAGGGATTAAACACTCACTCACGTCCTGAAAACATCTGTCCCATCAGCTGTTTCACAGCAAAAACAGAAACAAATAAAAACCCAGCGAGGCGAAGCTTGGACCTCATCCACCTCCCTGAGCGATTCAGAGATCGGCCACCGGAGGCGCGTGCGTGTCTGTCCAGGTCGAAGCTCCTGCGCCTAAACCGCACACCGTTTCCTGCAGAGGGTTTGATGTAGTCAACAGCCTGATTACATGTCGGCTGATAAACTGGTGACTCATTCATACCAGTGACAGTTATGAGTTCACCAGTAGAGCTGTTTACATCCGAGGAAGCGTCTTTTAATCTGAAACAAGGCGTAGGATTCATAAATCCATCGAAATTATGCAAGACTGTTGCACATTTACGACGTAGTAGACGGTATTTTTTGTGATGCCTGTGAGAAAGGACGGCTGCGGGAGAACATCCTGACCGTATTTTCACACAATTATTCCAATTTAATGTCAGAGCGCGGCGCTGTCGGCTTCCTCAGTTCTGACTCATTTGAGGTCACCTGTGGGGCGCAACGTACCCGAAACTGGGGGGAAAATCAAAGCTCGGCTCATCGGAGCTCGATTTACAGTCATGACATTTACACTTGATGTGTATCGCTCCGCCACAAAGAGTAAAAAGTCAGAGCCGATAGATGTTGAATGACGTGTTTTTACTGGAAACCACGAAGGTGAGAAGACTGCTCGCGCTGAGCAGCTTCCTCTGTCCCTGTATCAAGTAAACAAACATCTGCTCACATGGTTTTCAATCAGAATCCTAACTCCTCCTCTTTCTCTTCCTCCTCCAGGATCGACCAGAAGGTGTCCAACAGCCCGTCCGGTTACAGGCTGCAGGAGGCCCAGGCCATCCTCAGCGAGGTGCGCTCCATCCGCGACGCCATCAGCTCCGGGGAGAAGGAGAAGCAGGAGCTCATGCAGGTAAACTTGGGTTGGAAGCCTGGACTTCTCACATTTAGACTCTCAGCAGGCTTCACGTGTAATTTATGGCTTATTTAAGACTTAACAGTTACTCTGGGACGTCTGGAGAGACGATAAATCTACCTCGACCTGCGTGAAGAAGCAGTTTGGACCAATAAACGGTTAAAAACATCAGACTTTGATGTGGAAGCTCAGGAACAAAACAGCTGTGAGGATGTTTCAGCAGAGCGTGACCTTTCAAAATAAAACCACAGAGCTACCGCGACTCTATGTGCTTCACGCCGGCGTTTGGATCGTCTTTCTTCCTCCTCTCGTTCGTCGACAGGAGGGCACTCGATGTTAATGTGCAGCTGAACTTTTGGATGCAGGACCTTGCTTGGCTTGGTTAAAGGTTTGAGTTCAGTTTAGACGAGTCGTGTATGTTCATATTACAGCTGTGCACGTGTGTCACATGATGACGAGGACAGAGGCGATGGTCTTAAAGTGACGTGGAGCAGACGCCGTGTGAGTTCAGTCAAAGGCTTTGATAAAAAAATGATCAGGTGTCATTCTGTATCGCAGGAACGTGATTGGCATTTCTCGCTCTGTAAGAGAACGTCTGCAGCGCAGCTGTTTACGTCATCGTGACAGGTTTTGAGTGGGAGAGATTGACGCCGTTAAAACCGCGAGGCAACGTCGGGCTGGTACGAAACATCAGCGCTCACGTAAAGCATTAAAAATACAAATGTCTGAGGGTTAGACTCAGCTCGGCCAAAGGAAGGGGATCCAAGATTTAAGGAGGTCCAGTTAGAGAAAAACAGCCTTAAAGAAAAACCAACGCATTCTAAAACAAAGACCCCCCCCCAGTCCCACACAGATTAACACAATCATCAAACATATTAGAGGAATATAACAGTAACAGAAGTACATTTGAACAGGCAATACCTCTAGACTAGCTAAATAAGAGATAAAGGGTTGCCACTTGTGAAAAGATTTGGCTGTGCAACCTCTCAACGTATATTTAATTTTTTCAAGTTTTAAAAAAAACATGACATCTTTAAGCCACCGGGAAACAGTAGGATACTTAACAGACTTCCAATGCAACAATATTAGACGACTCGCTAATAGGGATGTGAAGGCTATAATATCCTTTTGTGTGGAATCAAGTGTAAGTGAGCGAACAGGAATCCCAAATACAGCAATCAGAGGACAAGGATGAAGAGTTACCCCAAGAACAGTCGACATAATAGCAAAATACCCTGTCCAGAAACTTTGTAGCTCAGGACACAGAAAAAACATGTGGCTAAGGTGACAAGGAGAACCATGGCATTTATCACATTTATTTTCCACTTCTGGATACAATTCAGAAAGTCTAGACTTAGAGAAATGCGCCCTGTGTATGACCTTAAATTGAATAAGTCCAAGACGAGCACAGGAGGTGGAAGATCGTACCCTCGCTACAGCCTGTTCCCAAGACTCCTCATGTATTCGAATTCCTAGTTCTCCTTCCCATGCACACTTAAGCTTAACATTAGAGTGCTTACTACAAGACAGAATAGCATCATAGAGTTTCGAAATGGTTCCTCTGTGATGAGGAATAAATGATAACGTAGTTTCCCACTGCTGTTCTGGAGGTAAA